CCCCCCCCTTTTTTTTTTTTTTTTCTACTGACATAAATACAGAGAGATTGCATTCGTTTTTAATGCAGTTTTGCCTCAACAGATGTGAGGGCAGAGTCTGTTCAGGAGTTTGTTTGTGACAGACCCATTAAACATAAAGAATATCTTGCTAAGCTATGATTTTTTTAGCATGTTGAGGAACCTATTTTTAGGAAGTGTTCTAGCTGTTAGACTTCATAGGCATTATGGTTTTATATTTTCTATAGCTTTAGCTGTGTCTTATGACTAAGTATGACATCTTCAGAGTTTCTGTATTAAAATGTTCTTGGATAGAGATTTTTCTGCAGGTCCACCTGTATTCAGTCTTACTTTTTTGATATAACAAAAACCCTGTGTGTATATATGTTCCTGTGGCTTCTTGTATTGGATTTCAAAATATAATAGTGAATGTTATTTTTAGTTTAAGGGAAATAAATAAAATCATACACTCTCAAAAGAATTGACAAATCATAACCCTTTCTAATGGGATTTTATGTAAGTTCATGAATTGTGTAAAATATTAGGAATTAATCTTGAACATGACTCAATGGAAGTGGGACAGATTTTGAATCCACCTGAAATGCTGGAAGGAAAATGCCATATCCTTTGACCCCCCCCCCCACCCCCCCCAATGTTTTCTAATTAAAAATTGTCATGTAGCTGCAGCCATAATGGAGCAAGCATCTTACTGTTAAAAAAAACACATAAAAATCACACCATATTTTAAATTCTGTTCTTCTTTCTTTAATGTGAGGGTTATCGTTTTGTAGAAGCAAGAAAAGAATCTAACTCTGATTTCTTTTATGCATTATTTCCAAATACTTTTGTTAGATGTTTTTGTTATTCCCATTCTTTATACACCTAGCTCATATTAAACATACAGTGCTTATTAAAAGAAGAGGCTCTGATGTTCTGTACTCCTCTCAAAAAACCAGTTGGAGGCAGCTCCTCTTGCAGCAGTTGTCCCTAATAATTTTTCTGGACAGTCTGTAATTACATTTACCGTGTCCGTTATTCCCGTGGTTGGTTACATAGACCTTGCATCTGTCAGGCTTTATCTGCATAACAGTTCAGTGACTAGGTCTAAAGCAAAGAAATAAACTGGAAAAGCACTTTCTTTTTCCAAGAAGCATGTGAGCTATATTTATTTTTTTACTTGAAGGACCTTTACATCCCCACACCCTATTTTGGCTGTGTCATCTTCTTAAGTACCTTTAAAGCATTTTGTCTACAGACAAGCACAGTGTTAATCTTCTTCTGAGGGATTGTTTTCCTGAGTTTTGAATTGTATGTTTTGTTCTTCAGTTTGTAGTCCAGGACAGCATGAGTTTTGTAATGCTGTCTAGAGTTCAAGTTCATGCATTGGCAAGCTTTCCCTTAATCTCCTGCCTGCTCTAGAGGTGAGAGGCTCTTTCTGCTGGTACTGTGTTTTAATTTGTCCAAGGTATTTGAGCTACTAGTGTGATTTTTCAGACTGTATTGTAGAATTACCTGGGCACAAATTAAATAAATAATTCTTCCATTGAAGCATCTGAAAACTTAGGTACAGGGAGATATTGATGAATGGGGTTACTGGTAGGGTACCCAGATA